AAATGCCATAAAGTGACATTTACTAAGTCGAAAGTACCTTTATCAACTTCTTATTCCATTGCAAATGTTTGTCTTGACTCGTTAAGTGAGATTAAGGACCTTGGAGTGCATTTCGACTCAAAACTCACGTTCACTTCGCACTTAAATAAAACTATTGCTGACTCATTTGCCATGCTTGCATTTGTTAGACGTCACTCTTCAGAGTTCACCGATCCTTATACTATTAAAATGCTCTATACAGCGTTTGTGCGTTCAAAACTGGAATATGCTGCGTTTATCTGGAGACCGAATCATTCTGTTGATATAAATCGTTTAGGAAAGGTGCAAAAGGTATTTTTACGCTTTGCTTTGCATTCACTAAGGTTTGCGGAACCATTGCCTTCATATGTATTCCGTTGTCGGCTAATTAGCCTTCCAACTTTGCATAATAGAAGAACTTCTCAGGCTATCGCATTTTTATTGGGTATTATTTCGGGAAAAGTTGAGTGCCCGACCCTACTTGAGAGAATCCATTTTTATGTTCCTAGCCGTAACTTGCGTCGTTTTGACGTGTTTAAGGTTGGGCTAAGTAGAACGGTTTATGGTGCAAACAGAACATCAGACTTCAATCACTTTTCAAATTTTTTAGACATAGACTTTACCAATACTAGAGCAACCACATTAGAATTGGAAAGATTTCTTATGTCCAGTCATTAAGATCATGTACATTTTGTAATTTCTAATCTGTTTGAAATTGTAGATTGGGTTTTTGAATTCTTTCATATGTAAGTAATTCTTGTAAATTAAATTTTTAAGTAGACAATTTATCATAATGACAGATAGTTATATTTAATATTCTGCTTAATGTCTGTTTTAACTATAGTTAGTTGTTAGACATAAATAAATAAATAAATAAATAAATTGGTCTAACCTGGTTTCTTTGAACTGAAGAATTTAGTAATAGGCTACATATCGCCGTTTAGAGTATAAAACCGCGTATCGTCGTTCTGCAAAACCGCGTAAGTGACATTTTTTCCCAAAAATTGGACTTGCTCACATGAGCTCTTGGCTCAAGCCTTATCCATTCGTCTTGAAATATACTAGCCAGAAATGCGATTGCTTTGTAAAAATGAGCACCATTTTGAAATATGAGTGTTTTTACTCTCTAGAAAATAATTTATGCAACCTCACATACGCGGTTTTGCATTTTGTTGATACGCGGTTTTGTACTTGTAAACGACGATATGTATTTTAGTAAGACAAGCCTTCGAAAAGTTAATCTCTAAATGCCTTAGAAAATAAAATTATTGTTTAACACTTGTTCGTTTATTTAAACGTTAATGATTTATTTGCGGACAAGAAAATGGCATAAAAGTTATTACATATGTATGTATGTATGTATATATGTAAATGGCTGTAACTATGATTAGCGCATTAGATGCTACATAATGAATTTGACTAAATTTGTTTTAAACTAATGAATTTTTCTAAATAATGGCGCTTTTGAGTTTATATCCAACGTTTACTTTCTCTTTTTCAGCTGGATTTTTTCAAATGGATGTGCTTCGATGTAAGCTAATGCTTTAAGGATGTAATCTGGAATTGGTGGTGGCGTTGGCAAATGATCACCCTTGGGCTGGTATCCATTTTCATTGGCTGTATAGGATAATTGTATGGGTTGTCCTTCAGGTGAGATGTATGAATAAGAGCCGGATGCATAGGAACTGCCAACGCCGCTCTCCTCAGCCTGAATCCCATTCGATGTTTCGTATGCATAGTTGTAGCTGCCGTCGGGTCTCAAGTCATTATCATACCTTAATATAGACGCTTGAACGTCAGCAGGATTGCCATCAGCGTTGGTGAGAGCAAATAAGGTGGTGGAAAGGATAAGCTGCGAGTGAGAGGTAAATTTAGAATATTAATTAAACTTGTAAGTAAAATGTAGAAGAAATAATAGGTATATAGAAAACTCTTTAGCTTTTTGAACTTACTACTTTAAACATTTTCTTTGCAAAATTGTGAATTTTTAAATGCGATTTTGTTCACTTATTTGTGGCTGCTTACGCTATGTATGGCGCTGATTTTGTAACTGATTTGAGATGCGCCTTAAAACATTTTTATATAGTATTTAGCAAAAGTACCCCCCCTGGTGTGTATTTTAATCACAAGCTCAAATATTTTGACTGCTGCACCCACCAGCGTTCGAGCGCAACTCATTTATACAACGCACATTATAAGCTTCTATTAACAGAAAAATGAAATATCGACAATCATATGCAAATACTTAATTTTAAGCTTAAACCGATTGATTATTAACAGTTTTTAGACTAAATTTTTTGTATAATCTAGTCTCACTTAAAGTGCTTATCAGTTCGCCAATTTTAATCTGACCGGGTTTTGTGAACTCACAAAAGCTCGTTGCTCTACTGTTATTTCAGGTAGGTAGGTAAGAAAAACAACAAGAAATACAGTAGTGTAAGATAGTGTATACTAAACTAAATGCAAATATGTACATATGTATATCGGATGATACGCATATAAACAGATAAGTGTCAGATTATTTTAATTAATTTATCAAGTTTAAGATAAATTAAGAAGGGCGCTATTGTCTCAGCGGAACACTCCTAAAATGTGAGGTATATGTCTGCACATGTACCGTTTTGCAGGGGTATGTACATACATATGTATGTAGGTATTTTGAAGTTGTACATGCCAGATGTGTATCTTTTGCATTGAATATTTATTTTCTTGTTGCATTTAGATATTAATTATAATTTTTTAATTAGCAGCATTGTATTAACTATTTGTTATTGTTGAGAATACCGTTGAACATTTGAAATAATCAATATTTTGCGCCAAATACTAGTACAACGGCGTGAACAGAAATTATGATGACCAACTTACATATATCGAGCCCTAACCGCCAAAATAACTAAGCGACATTTTTTTTTCAATATTTTGTTTTTGATGCTGAAATATTCCTAGATGGGTTTCTTTCCGATCTAGCTTGCTTATTCATCTCTACTAGGCTGCTGTTGGGAATCAGGTCGATGGCGCACAGTGTACGATTTGGGAGTGTCGATGACCAAAATCGTAGAACTCTCGATAGAAATAAGATGTCAAACGAAAAAAATTGGGTTCGAAAGCTAACATAATTGCCATTGAGGTTGTTCACGCTTGCCTGGTTATCAGCTTATGTGGTTATGTAGTTAAATATAACTCACTTTACTCAGTTTACAACAATAAAATACTCTAGACAATAATAATTTTTAACCAGATAACCTGATAACCAGGAAAGCGTGAATAACCTCATTATAAATAATAATTTCCAACCACCCAAAAATTAGGTTGAAAAATGAATTTTTGAAAGAAAAAATGGCTACCTCCAAAAAAAAAGATTTGTTTGCCGTTTTATGGACTTTTCTTGTAGATTTTCATCGGAAATTACTGTCAAAAGTAGACTAAAGAGTAGTATGTAGGCTTATTTTTTAATTGAAAATTGTGTAGTACGTTTTGGGATATTATTCACGGTTATTTTACATCACAAGTAATGCAATTGCATTACAGTGCGTTCTTAGACTTCTTCGCACTTCTTCACTGCAAGGAGCCTAACCCTCTGCCCTGTGAAATCCTCGTCAACCATTTTTATTACCTGGACAAAACAGATGAAGCTGCAGCTGGGTAGCAACGTCGACGGCTACCAATTCTGAATGTGAATGACCCGAAAAATTCGTCACATTACTCAATGGCACTTGCTGGCAGCAGAGCCAGTTCTTCTAGAGAACCAGGCTTACATCGCCTATCGGAATCTTATGCTGGGCAGATAGCTCATTAATAATATTTACCGAGAGCCAGTCACCACCCATTGCAGACAAAGAGCCTCGAACCTCGAAAGCACCGCGTAACTTTGGCGTTATTAATGTCTTGATACTGTAACAGGCTAAGTTCCTACAACCCATCTCTTCACATGCTCCTTCAGCCCACCTATCTAACTACTCTCCCTTTGATATGAGTACGTTCGGAACAGCACGTTTCCTGGGCCTGTCGTTAGTCGATTTTGGTAGGGCTTAGTAGTGGCATTACAATGACAACTCACGGGCGAAATTAAGGCTGTGCCTTAGTGAAGATCCATAGTTTTCAATTCACGGCTGTTTTTTCGATATCGACTGTTGATACAACTTACCTTATAATCTTTAGAAAAATGACTGAAAAGGGTGGTATTGTTCTTAACGATTATGTAAGTATGTACAACATTTATTCACAATGTCGTGTAAAGATATTCAGAACGCTGTACTGGTATTGTCTCTTTATTTGCATTTTCCTGACTGCTTGCTTACTGAGCACAACCAGAACCATGCACACGCAAAATGGGATAAAACGACCCTGCACGGAGGATTGGAGAATCGTCAAAAGACTGTTCGACGAGTATAAAATAAGTTGGGTTATATCTGCCTCAGTGCTCTTCAAAGCACCTGGAGCAGATGGCATTTTAACAACTGATCTTCAAGATGGACTTCCTCACTTGCTACACTTTCTATTACCGTTTTTCAGAGCATGGGGTTATTTCCACTATAATCCCAACCATAGTCTACTAAAAATCATGGAGAGAATTGGAGGACAAAGAGGTGACAGTGGTGGCCCTCTCTAATAGAAAAGGTCATCCGTCGCAAAGGGGTTGATGAAACCAAAATGTCCTTAAATTACATCCACTCTAGGAGAGGATAGAGTCAGGTCTTAGCTACGAAAGGTTTCCACACAGGGGGTATTGATCCCGCCTCTACTATGGTTCATCGTAGTAGACGAACTACTCTGCCTTCTTAGTGAAAACGGCTCCGATGTTCAGGGCAATGCGGAGAACATTGCCATCCTAATAAGAGGTAGCCTCTAAGAAACTATCTGCAAACTCCAACAGAATACTCTGAACATAGTCGTCAAATGGTGCATTAATAATGGGTTGAACGTAAACCCCAAGAATAACGAAATTACTAGAAGCACTCCTTCAAGGAGAAATGATACACTTCTCCAAAGAGGTGAGTTATGCTTGATGACAAGTTCTCATGGAATTTGCACCTAGACGAAACTATTCAAAAGACCAAGGTCTCTATCTGGACCTGCCGCAAAGTAATGTGGTGGTGCTGTCCTACGCCTGTCTGGTGGAAGAAGCTAGAAGTGAAGTCCACGCAGGCCAAGCTCACTAAGCTACAACGACTGGTCCCCATGGGTCTCACTGGCGCGATGAGAACTACACCAACCGCGGCACTCGAAGTGCTTCTTGACCTGCCTCCCCTACTCATTGTAATCAAGACAGGGGCTCTACTGTTTACAGCAAGGCTCATCTCAGGGAACAATGTAGAGAACTGCAAGCTTATACTCCCTTCCATTCGTAGAGTTATAGAACAAGAAGATGGGGTGCATTAGCTTTGTATATCTGTGTCTTTCGAGACGACCTTAACCCTGGAAGGGCAGAAACATCTGATATACTGACGGCTCCAAGACTGACCACGATGCCGGAGGAGGAGTTTATGGCATACAGTCCAGAAGGCTCCTTTTCACCAGCATGGGGCAAGGATACTCTGTCTGTAAGGCTGAGGTGCAGGGATTCAAAGACCCAGGACCCTTTATCTGTCAGCCATGGAGCTCCGTTAGGTGAAACTACTACATATGAAGATAAGAGAGAGGCTAAGCCTTTCATTCCGGATATATCAACAAGGAGAACCGAAAAAGTCCTTCACCTCAGTAGGCATGAAGTATGAGTTGCTACAGGTTTTCTTACTGGCCACTGCAGGGTAAAGAAACACTTGTTAAACAAAGGAGTTGTTAACATTGATTGGATTCTGATTCCTAGGATCACCGTATCTAGAAGCACTCGACCTAAATGGCATTCAGCTAAAGGACCTCGCGAGGTTTTTGGAATAGAGATTTGTTAGAATAGATCCAATTTTGTTAAAATCGAAAATAGAGAATATTAAGTGACCGAAGGCAAACGGAAATATTCTAGATTCTTGACCAATGAGAAACTATTTGAACAGGAAAGATTTATGTACAATATCAATGCTGAATTAATAATTTTGCATTTAATCGTAAGGACTTTTATTCGAGTTATATAGATTTTATTCAAAAGTGTCTATGTTGCGCTGGATAACGGAAGCTATTCACTTGATGACTAGGGGCGGCCACATGATGAAATTGTTGGTGACGAAGTTGCTGTTGTGGCCGAGATTGCTGTTGGGCTTGCTGCTGGCGATGATGTGCGGCATTCTCATCGTATGGGTGCGCACGAATATATTCCAATGACTTGAGGATCTGTGGTGGAATTGGTGGCGGAGTTGGCAAGTGATTGCCTTGCGGTTGGAATCCATTCTCATCGGCTAAATACGAAAGCTGAATCAGTTCACCTTCTGGCGAGTAATAAGAGAAACCACCACTAGCATGATGACCACCATAGCCCTCCTCTTGAGCGCTTATGCCATTCGAGGTTGAGTAATCCAGTTTATAGCTGCCATCTTGACTTAGTTGGTTGTTGTGTTTGAGCGTTTCTGCATGAGCGCTTTGAGGATGCACCGCATGAGCGACGCAGGCCAACGAAGCGATGGTGGCAAAAAGGATCTGGGAAATTTTAGGAAAATAGAATAAGTAACTTATTTTGAGCGAATTCTTGTGTTGTACAATTGATTGATATTTACTTACGAATTTGTTCATTTTAAAGCTGTTTGATTGTATTTTTTTGGGCAACTCTTCGGGGTGGAGTTGTTTGCTGTCGAAGACAC